CCCCAAAACCCCAAAACCCCAAAACCCCAAAACCCCTGCAATTTTTGGCAAGTTGCATAAACTTGGTTAATTTTAGTTAAAAAATTAAAAAATTCTTGGTCGATAGAAGTCTTAAAGAATGGAACAGATTTTAATGAACGAAGGAGACAATGAAAGTATAGAATGAGAGTAAGAAAAAGAGTAAAAATAGGGTTAGGAGAGTTCTGAGGGTGATTTGGAGGGTTTTTAAAGCGTTTAGAATTAATTTTCAAGCTAAATGATGTATCATAGATCTGTAGAAATGGAGATTGAAGAAGAAAAGAAATCAAGCCACGATCTTGAAAAGGAGAGAAGGAGAAGAGAAAGAGAGTTACGAAGAGCTGAGTATGTTATTTCTCCTATAACCCACTCGTCATCATCGTCTTCTAAGTGATTTATAGACTAAGAAGATTAAGAACACAAACAGAAGACGAAACCCAGATAAAGAAATACGAAAAGGAGACCAAATTGCTAGATAGGCAAGAGAAAAAAGAGATGAATCGGTATTCATTCCTTAACAGTGTAGAGAAAAATAGGGAACTTAAGAGGGAAGAAAAACGATTACAGAAATTAGAAAAAGACCGAATTAGAAGAGAGAAAGCTGAAATGAGAGCGAGGGTTAGAGAAGAGAGACAGAGGATAAAAGAGCAAAGAATGAAGGAAATATTTGAAAAGAGGTTAGAAAGAGAAGCTAACAAACAAGAGAAAATGGCCAAAATCAACCAGGGGAAGAAAAACAATAAGAAATGGTTTAGGCATTTTGTGGAAGGTAGTGCACTTTTCTGGATATATTTGGAACATTGTTTAGTCTGTGTATCATAATTGATTTTAGAATCTAAGGGAGAAGATGAAAGTGACTCTGACAGCCCAAGCCCTCCAATGAGCCAGAACCGCCACTCTGAGCCAAGTGCTTCAGAGTCCAGTCTTTCTATTTCAAAATCTATGAGTTTCCAAGAGAATAAAACTACGGATGAAGATCAAAGGATATATGAGATCCAACTTCAAGAAGCTATAAAGGAAAGTGAAGAGTTATATAAACTGCAGATGATAGCTCAGTCACTTGGTAAGCCAAGCTAAATATCTCCATATTCTTCAAAAGTCATAGCTAATTTTCCATAGAAAAGGAGGAAAAGAAGAAGGAGAAACAGGCTAAGCCCAAGAAGGAGAAGAACCAAAGGAAAGAGAAGCCAGAAAAGAAGCCCAGAAGAATGCATGACACTAAACTAATGAAGGAATTTAAAATGAGGCAGGCGAGGTTCAGAAAGATGGTCTGAAGCAACATGAAGCTTGACAAGCAAAAGCTTACTGATGATAAGTAAGAATTCCTTTTGATTCTCTTTAGGAAGATGCTGATCCTTAACCTCCGGACTAAACTTGGTATCATTGAGGGAGACAAAGCTCCACAGTGCCAGGAGAAGGGTGCTGATGTAATTGAAAGAATGGACAATCAAAAACTCTTTATATATGACCCAGAGAACGAATACTACACTGAAGAAGGCCACAAAGTAGATGATACAGTAAAAGGAGCAGAATCTTATTTCAGGACAGAAGATAGAGAATGAGCCCTCTGCCTTGACGAATTCGTCCAAGAAGACATCCTAGTGAAGTTAAACGGCTGAGGTCATGTATTCCATGCTGAATGAATGGAAGAACATATTTTCTTTAGTGCTAGCTTGCCAGACACAGCATGCCCTTATTGACGAGGAGATATTAAATAAACTAGGTTAAAAGTTCTTTCCCAAAAAGGGGTTTTGGGGTTTTGGGGTTTTGGGGTTTTGGGGTTTTGGGG